CATCAAAAACTAATGATGTAATGTATGGTGATTAACAATAAAAATTTTTTTTAAAAAAAGGTACAAATAAATTTCTGATGAATTCATGCTAGTGAAAGCAGGAGAAACATTTAGCAAGCTTTGTAATAAATGCATACTCTGAGAGTTGCAGAGCTAATAAGTAATATAGTGGGACTGACTCATGATTGTGTTTAACTCCATAAATTAATTTTACTTGCCTAGGGACATTATTTTTCAACCCCACTCAAGGCACAGAACTCCTAATAGATCTGAGATTGTAGATGAGAATGAGTTGCACCTTCAGTTGGCTTGAGCATAAAAACTTTTGTTTGTTTTTTGTTTTTGTTTTTTTTGAGGGGGAGGGGCTCTATCAGTACTTTTTCACAATAAAGAAAAATTTAAAGAAAAAGAATGTAAGTGGAAGAATTGGAAAGAAAACAACAATAACAACAAAAAACACCCTGTCATTATTTGTAGATAATATGATTGTCTTTATGGAAAATCCAGAAGAATTTCACACACATGGAACTGGTATGTATATTAGTTATCTACACTTGTTGTGTAACAAGTTATCCCCAAATTTGGCAGCTTAAACAACAAACATTTATTATCTCACATACTTTCTGAGGGTTAGCAATCCAGAAGTGGCAAGTCTGGCTCTCTCCTGAGATTGCCTGCAAGTCTGTTGACCAGAGCTGCATTTGTATAAGGGCAGAAAAATCCACTTCCAAGCTCACTCACATGGCTGCTGGCAGGAGGCTTCAGTTCCTCACCATGTGGGCTGTTCATGCAACATGCCACCTGGCTCTCCCCAGAGCAAGTAATCTAAAAAAGTGAGAAAAGTAGCAAGAAAATCCAAGATGGAAGCCACAAGCTTATAATAACCTAATCTTGAGAGTGACATATTCTCAGTACTGCTGTATTCCATTATTTTCCAAATGAATCACCATGTCTAGCTCACACTCAAGGGGAGGGGATCACACAAGGACATGAGTACCAGGAGGCAGGGATCACCAGCAGTCATCGTAGAGGCTGCCAACTACAGTATGTGAGAGAGGGGCTTACAAATCTAAAATGGGTTTTAATGCTGCGGGCCTGCAGGTGGTTTCCTGGGTCATAGGAAGTTATCTACAGAGCAGACATCTATGACCTGAACTATGGGAAAGCTGAAGGAAGAACAAAAGCAAGCACAGGCACTAGAAAGGAATAGTCAGAGGAAAGGCAAGTAATAGGGCACACCGTCCAAAAGAGAGTGGCAACTTGAAAAAAGTCAAAGGGCAAAATTCCACATCCAGCAATGATGAAGTAGCTCTCAATGAGGATGACTATAAGAACTGGAGAAAATTAAGAGAACAATTGATTTTAAGCACTGGGAATTATTCTATGCAGGCAGGATTAAGGGTCCCAGAGTCTAAGAAGAAAATTAAATCCTTTAAGGTGGAAGATAAAATCACCTCAAGCCTCTCTAGTTTTTCACATATAATGTCTGGTATTCAATTAAAAACAGATATGCCGGAAGAAAAAAGGTCCAAATTACTAGGACCAAGGAAAAGACAGTAGAAATAGATTCAGAGATGATCCATGTAAAGTATTACAACTAACCTTAAAATAACTATGATTAATATGTTTAAAGTAATAGATGAGAAATGGCAAATTTCATCAGAGAATCAGAATATGTAAAAACAAAAATGAAAACAGAAGTCTAGTGAAAATCCTAGAACTGAAAAACTCAAATCCTGAAATTCAGAACTCAATAAAGGGGTTTAGCAGATTGGACAGAAGAGAGAAAGAACACATTGGAAGTAGAAAATATCCACATTAAAATACAAAGAGGAAAAAGTTTAAAAAAAAATACAGACAAGAGCATGAGATACACATGGAACAAAGTGAAAGATCAAACATACACATAAACTTGAGTCCCAGGAAAAGACAACAGGGAAGAAGCTATAAACAAAGAGATACCTGATGGACAATTTAACAAAAGTGATGGAAACATCAAGCCAAAGATTAAAGAGCCTCTTTGAACTCCAATTTATTTACAGTCTTCAGAATTTTCAATTATCTCAATTCTTGAGGTTATATTTTCTTTTCTTGTACCTACTATGCTATTCATGGTGGATTATGCTCTTGAGTATTTTAGAACATTTTCCCCTGTGGACATCCCATTCAGCCTATGTGTGGTTTCTTTTCCTTGTGGTTAGTGCTTTTTTATTTTGAGTTCTTTAATATTCTATATATATTCTTATATATTCTTTTATAACAGTTATTTCTTTGTGCTACGATTTTTGCTTTTGTTTCTGATGATTCCAAGGACATTCACTGTTTTGTAACACTTTGCACAAATCTCAAAGATTCCTTCAGTATGCATATAGTATAAATTAGAAAGCTTGCTAGTGTTGCTGTGGCTGAGATGCTCGCAGGAGCCTTGATTACCATGTAAAATCCCTTGTGGGCAGATACGGTTTTCTTGTCCCCATCTTACAAGGTGCCACGTTAGACGTGCAAACTCTAGGAAGAGTTCTCCCTTCTTGGATCCTGCATTGTGACAGCTTGAGGTCCCATTTCTTGCACCTGCCTGGGTATTAACTACCAACCTCCGATTCTGAAAGCCTATAACTAGATACCAACAAATTCCATAGGCCCTAGGACATCAACTACTGTTTACAGTTTGAGTTCTCTTTTCATTTCTGGAAAATGAGAATTTTTCTTTTCTTTTTTCAAATTCAGCCATGTAATTAAAATACTTTTCAAGCATTTCTATTTGCTTGTATAATCAATCAGCAATGTTACCAAGAGTCCTATATTTCCAAGGTCCCAAGAAAATGAAAGATTTATTGCACTAGTTAGAAATATAAAAAAAGGTTATTACAGAAGCTCCTATAAAGTAAAATTTGTTATATATTAGTATTTCTCCCAAAAGATACTAATTACTCCCTCTTAATATACTAACACTGAAGAAAAAGATTCTTTCAATCCTAACCTTTGAAAAAAATGTCAAACTTACAGAATAGTAATATGAAGACCCCCTTTATACCATATAGCTTTCATCTAGATTCAACATTTTGCCACATTTTTTTCTTTCCAATAGACAGCTATAGGTAGGTAGGTAGGTAGATATGATATAGACACAAAGATTTAAATATATAAACTTAAAATCCTAAGACTAAGGACATTTTCTTGCATAACCAGAGTACACATATCAATTAAATGTTGATACATTACTATCCCTTAATATACATTTAATATCTGCATGCTGCCAGTTGTACCAAGAATATCCTATAGAGAAATTTTTACCCACATTCATGAATTGCATTTAGATATTGTGTCTCTTTAGTCTCCTTAAATCTGAAACACTTCCTTGGTTTGTCTTTATATTTGATGATTCTGACTTTTTTTTTTTTCAAGATTTTATTTATTTATTTGACAGAGACAGAGACAGCGAGAGCAGGAACACAAGCAGGGGGAGTGGGAGAGGGAGAAGCAGGCTTCCCGCCGAGCAGGGAGCCCGATGCGGGGCTTGATCCCAGGACCCTGGGATCATGACCCGAGCCGAAGGCAGTTGCTTAACCAACTGAGCCACCCAGGCGCCCAATTCTGACATTTTTAAAGAGAAATCATTACGTAGAATATTCCTTAGTATGGATTTGTCTGAATCCCTCATGATTTGATTTGGGTGGTGCATTTTGACAGGAATACTACATAGGTGATGTGTCCTTTCAGTGTGTGACTTAGAGAGACACATATCCGTTGGTCCTATTATTAATGATGCTAACACTAGTTAAGGTTTTTTTCTCAAGTTTCTCCACAGTAAAGTTAGCATTTTTCCCTTAGACATTAATAAATAACTGATGAGGAAATATTTTATTTTTTAAAAGATTTTATTTATTCATTTGTCAGAGAGAGAGAGAGACAGAAAGAGAGCACAACCAGGGGGAGTGGCAGAGGGACAGAGAGAAGCAGGCTTCCTGCTGAACAGGGAGCCCGATCCCAGGACCCCAGGATCATGACCTGAGCTGAAGGCAGACACTTAACGACTGAGCCACCACCCAGGTGCCCCCTGATGAGGAAATATTTTAAAGGTGTGCAAATATCCTGTCCCTCAACAAACTTTCACCTATTAGCTGTAGCATCCATTGATGATATTTACCTGAATCGAGTTTTATTATGAGGGTTGTAAACGGTGATTTTGTGACTCAGTTTTTCCTTCTACATTTATTAGTTGACATTCTACTACCATGGATAACTTTCTCATCTTTTTCATTTCTTTAATTAGTCTCAATATGGACTCATGAGTTCTTTTTTTTAATGGGTTAAAATCCATTACTACCACTATTCATTTTGCTGTTCAAGCTGTTCCATACTGGACCAGTGAGAATCCCTTCAAAGAGGCCCCAAATAAATACCTTTTAATATTTACATACAATGAGTTGTTGCTAACAGTTTCAAATTGAACACAGGAAATAATACTTAGCACATACTTTGAAACAGCCAGAGTCTATTCTCTAACGAGTATTTGTGACTCACAAATAGGGTCTGTCTTCCTCATAGCATACAGGTAACTCATAAAGATGAACTTTTTTCTATTCCCTACTATAATTCTACCTCTCTTTTGACATCAAAAGAGACCTTGGCATCATGTGAATAATTTGTCCAAACAATATCATGGAGTGATACACAGATCACAGGTAAACATCAGTGACTGAACCCATGTGATAGGCCCTTTTGACAAACAAGAAAATAGAAAAGACAATTTTGAGAATGACCAGATTGGAAATCTTAACACACCAGGAAAAGGAAATCTTATTTTTCTTCATTTGAAAATATTTAACCAGAAAAACACAGTGATCTAATTTAATGACTAATATTTCTTTAGGAAAAGAAAACTAGGAAATTGTCCAGGACAAGAACATAGCAGCTTCAGCAGAGTATAAAAGAGGACAAGCAGCAGAGGGATTTTCAAATTCACTAAGCTAATATCAGAACCTCCACCCTCTGACACCATGGTCGACTCCTGTTGTGGCTCCGTCTGCTCTGACCAGGGCTGTGGCCAGGAGACCTGCTGTCGCCCCAGCTGCTGCCAGACCACCTGTTGCAGGACCACTTGCTGCCGCCCCAGCTGCTGTGTGTCCAGCTGCTGCCGCCCCTCCTGCTGTGGCTCCAGCTGCTGCAGGCCCAGCTGCTGCATCTCTAGCTGCTGCCGCCCCACCTGCTGCCAGACCACCTGCTGCCGCCCCAGCTGCTACCACCCCTCCTGCTGTGGTTCCAGCTGCTACCGCCCCTCCTGCTGTGGCTCCAGCTGCTGCCGCCCCTCCTGCTGCCGCCCCTCCTGCTGTGGTTCCAGCTGCTGCCACCCCTCCCGCTGCATCTCTAGCTGCTGCCACCCCTCCTGCTGTGGCTCCAGCTGCTGCCGCCCCTCCTGCTGCTGCCCCTCCTGCTGCCTGCGCCCAGTCTGTGGCCGGGTCTCCTGCCATACCACTTGCTATCGCCCCACCTGTGTCATCTCCACCTGCCCCCATCCCGTGTGCTGTGCCTCCTCTTGCTGCTGAGCCCCCTGCCCTGTGACCACCGTCTCTGTTTACCTCTGCCCCACATTTGTAGACCCTCCTTTTAGAACACATGGAGTGGAAATGATGTTGCTCAACTGAATTGGGCCTTAATTCCACTGAGGAAACCAATCATGCTGTTGAAGAAGATGGATATGGCATGGAGCACTTATACAGTAACAGATTTTACCCTTCGACCTGACAATTGGTGAAATCATTCTCCTAACTTCCCTTTTATAGGCCTTTTCTGTAACCTGATATATTTTTGTACCAAAATAAAGTTACTTCCCTGCATTAACAATTCAGTGTGATTGTTGCTCCATTAAGATTTTGTCTTCAGCTGGTAGGCAAGTGTATTTGACCTACACCTGCAGGATACACACATGGTCTTGTCACTTCTCAATAATAGTCAGATTCCATTATTCACTGCCTGATTCTTTCCTACGTGCCTCCTTATTTCATGGGCAAATCACCTAACACTATGAACCTGCCCTAGGAAAATAAACAAGAGAGTGAAAAGTAGACGTTTGGAAGACTATAGGTATATAAAGGCAAAAAGAACACAATACATGTTTCATGCATCACACCAGCCACCATAGTTATGCAATGTATTGTTCAGCACAGTCTACAAGTTTGTATTCAGGCTTGTACTCAATGACACTGATGTCATCCATGTAACAAATCAAATATGCACTGATTCCGACTCTATTTGCAACAGGACCTCAGTCAGGTCTCATTTTTTTCTGTTGATAGAGAGTTTCAGATCCTCATGCATTCAAGGGACAGGTAGATAGCCTAGATGAGTAAAGCATGCCCTTGATAAGATGATGTGTTTGGTGGAAACTGGGATAAACTGTAGACTGCATAACCACATAAGAGGGTATTCCTGAGTTCCTGTCAATTGCTTCCATGGGAAAACGGGGACCCATTGTTTTCACTGAAAAGTGGGTCTGCTTTCACTGACCCTCTGCAAGGTAGATCTTGCAGATATGGATCAAATTCACAACCCCCAAGTTAAAAAAGATACTTCTTTTCAAGTGCACAGTATTATTTTTAATAGTGAAAGCCTGAACACAACCCAAATGTCCATCAATAGGGAGCTAGCTAAATAAATCATATTACGGCAACAGAATAGGACATTTTGTGGCTAAAAATGAAATGAATATCTGAACTATACTACTGTGAAATAACATAACTCTGGGATAAATTGTTAGGTGAAGCAAAGCAAATTGGAGTAAAGTGTATCTAGTGTACAACCATTTACCTAAGAAACAAAGGAGATACAACTATGCAAATGCAAACACACTTATATTTAAAATAGCAGTGGGAGGGAAAACCTTACATTATAAAAATGATTCTCTGTGGGGGAGGGAAGGAATAGAAATAGCAAGATTTCCTTAAACATGCCTCACTTTGTAGAATTTATTTTGGGAGCATAAGTATGTAATTGCAAAACAACATTTAAATTTAAAAAGTGATTCCTAGAAAGTATTTTTTTAAAAAGTCACTGATGACATGCTCTGTTCCATGCATGATGAAAATACTATAAGGTTCAAGCGTTCACCTCAGGTGTCTCTATCCAGCTGGAGACAGATAATCACATTCAGGTTACAGTAGATGTGAGAAGTTTGAGTGTTCCACAATGTGGTATCAACACAGATGAGGAGGAGCAGATAAGGTTTAAAAAAGAAGAAAGAAAGAAGAAAGAAGAAAGAAGAAAGAAGAAGAGGAGGAGGAGGAGAAGGAGGAGGAGGAGAAATGTCAAGGAAAACAAAAGGGAGGAGGGAGCCCTCTGGGCTGGAACTTAAAAAGAGAATAAGGAATTGCTGAGTTGATGTGGGAGAATGAACTTTCTAAGGCTCTAAGGAGATGTAACAGCACAATCAAAGGGATACACTTCATAGGATTAGCTACCTAACACTCCTCTATGTGAACTCTTAGAGAATAATGAGTACCTCATGGGTTCTTTAAGAAGAAAAATCAACACAAATTACAAAGCATTCAGCAGACTAACTGGCACATGGCAAGCACAAACAGTATCTGTAGTATCTCATTTTTCACTGTAAGTACATGAGCCTTAAATACATAATGCTTGTTTTGGACACTAATTCTTTGATGCTTTGAATATTTGCCAAAATCTTGCCTTTCAATATACCAGAGTTAAGTGCCTATACAAACAGCAAGGCTTATCTGTCTACATCTTCTTTAAGCAGAAGGACTTGAATTTGAATTATGGAAAGAGTACAAGAAAAAGATGCTTTAAGTAAAACCTTCTATATAATGCAGAATCTATTACATAAGTTGGCCAATCAAAAGAAAGATCAAACTTGCTCAACTTTGGCATACTATATGTGGAAAAGATTCCTGAAGGAAAAAGTTCATTTCTGAAAATGGTTCTTTCATCAAAAAGGAATGAGTCAAAGCTACATCTTGACGTAGGGTCATTACAATGAGTTTAGAATGCCATTTGTAACCCTCTAACTCTCCAATCATTCAGGAAACACAGTCCAGTCCTCCCCATTCAAGTAATCCCAGTGATGAATCTTTCCTATTTCCTTATCAGCACTCCACCTGACAGTAGCATGCATTTTCCCACATTGAGAAAGAGAGAAAGAAAAGGAAAGAAAAGAAAAGGTGAGGGAGAGAGACGTGGCACTGTAATAGCCATCCTCAAAATATGATCATGGAAAATAAAAAATGAAATCCATAATCATATTTTGAGGATGGTTATCATAATGACAATCCTCTCTCTCTCTCTCTCTGGTCAAAGTGGAAAAATGCATGCTACTGTCAGGTGGAGTACTGATAAGGAAATAGGAGGAAAGACTCATCACTGGGTGAAATAGGTGATGGGGATTAAGGAGTGCACTTGTGATGAGCACTGGGTGATGTATAGAACTGTTGAATCACTATATCGTACACCAGAAACTAATGTAACACTGTATGTTAACTATACTAGAATTAAAATAAAATATGATCATTGGAGTCATACACAAAAATGGGACACACAGAAAAAGTCGGTAATAGAATATCATATGACAGCTCCAACTTACAAGATACGTTAGACAGAAAAAAAATGGGAAAGTGGTTCAATGACTCACACGCTGCAGAAAAAGGGAAATGATGTTTTTCTTAGATACTGGCATATTTAACCTGATAAACATAATTATTGACTTAGTAACACTAATTGTTTCCTGGCAGGAATAACAACAAGAGTGTTCCTCATGGTAACATCAGCTACTCAGCAGAGTATAAAAGGGGACAGAGGAAAGGAGACATTCAAATTCAAGAAACCACGTGGAAACCCACTTATACCCACTTGTGGAACCCCACTCCTTCCACTGACACCATGGTCGACTCCTGTTGTGGCTCTGTCTGCTCTGACCAGGGCTATGGCCAGGAGACCTGCTGCTGTCCCAGCTGCTGCCAGACCACCTGCTGCAGAACCACCTGCTGCCGCCCCAGCTGCTGCGTGTCCAGCTGCTGCCGCCCCTCCTGCTGTGGTCCCAGCTGCTGTGGCTCCAGCTGCTGCAGGCCCAGCTGCTGCATTTCTAGCTGCTGCCGCCCCTCCTGCTGTAGCTCCAGCTGCTGCAGGCCCAGTTGCTGCATCCCTAGCTGCTGCCACCCCACCTGCTGCCAGACCACCTGCTGCCACCCCTCCTGCTGTGGTTCCAGCTGCTGTGGCTCCAGCTGCTGCAGGCCCAGCTGCTGCATCTCTAGCTGCTGCCGCCCCTCCTGCTGTGGCTCCAGCTGCTGCCGCCCCTCCTGCTGCTGCCCCTCCTGCTGCCTGCGCCCAGTCTGTGGCCGGGTCTCCTGCCATACCACTTGCTATCGCCCCACCTGTGTCATCTCCACCTGCCCCCGTCCCATGTGCTGTGCCTCCTCTTGCTGCTGAGCCCCCTGCCCTGTGACCACCATCTCCATTTACCTCTGCCCCTCAGATATAGACTCTTTTTGTGCCAACCTTTAGGACACAGGACGTGGGGTTAATGTTGCTCAACTGAGTTGCGTCTCATGATTCCAATGAGCCCATCACAGTCCCACTGACTCTGTGAGCACATTCTGGCCTCAGTCCAAATTCTACTTCTGGACCTCTCCCTTTCATCCAAGTGTGAATTTTCTTACAACACACCAACTACAATGTTGTATTGACCAATTCTCCCAAATTTTCCTTAATTTTGAGGCACCAGCTCATCAAGCTCAAGGAGTTGAAGTTTGATTTCAGTATTTCTACATTACAGATTTTTATAGTCTCTCTCTTAATTGTCCAGTGGATCCTCTTTTATAATTCTTATTCCCCAAATTTTCCTATGTTATAAACTCTATGCCAAAATAAACCACCATTTTCTTGTATGAAAATTCAGTGTGATGGTACTCTTCTATACGATTTTCAATGCAGTCACTGGGTAATATATAAGACTGATGAGTCACTGACCTCTACCTCTGAAACCAATAATACATTATATGTTAACTAATTGAATTTAAATTAAAAAATAAAATTAAAAATTAAAAAAAGATTTTCTGTACAGTCTGGACAACTATATTTTACCTACATGTGTAGCACAGACAATATGGCTTTGTCAATTTTACAAAAGAGGGAGAGCCCACATTAGTCACAGCTTCGGTTTCACTGGCAGTTTTAAGTTCTTAGATAAAACAGATATTCTTGGGAATTCATGGATAAAAATCTGAGAAAAACTTTTTTGGAAAACCTGTAAGCAATTAATGCTCCCTGGGACATCTTTTCCATATTATATATCTGTGAAAGCAGTTAATAGTAATTATAAGGAAAATGAAATTGAATGTACCTGGGAGCAATTGATGATTTGGGAAAACATAATGAAAGGCTGAGGGTGATAAATCAGAGATTAAAGGACAAATGTAAAAGTCAGAGGTTTCACTGGCAGCATAGAAATTGACTCTCATAAAGGGTAAATAAAGCTGAGGACCAAGGCTAGGACTTCATCAGAGGAGGAGCAGAGCTCCAGAGGTGGTTGTTCATTCAGCCTAGGTAATTCTGCCATGCCAAGGTAGAGAAGGAAACCCTGAGGTATGAGATGGAGACGTCTAGACTGATGCATTTGAAGATCTTGTGTCCCCAAATTTCCCTGAACCCTCTGGGCTTGCAGAAGTAATCTGATTTCTTTGCTGACATTTAGTGCCACCTCCATTCGTGAAGATGATGCAGAAGCTTCAGTCTTAAAAAACAGACAACACAAGCGCCTCTCACTACCTTCTCCCACCTCCCTTTGTCACAGACCAATAACTATGGTTAAGATACACAACTAACCCAGAGAATGGCTGAACCTGTTAATGGGAGACTATATCCCAAAAGATCTGTAGGACCCAAAGACTGCTTCAGAGATAGTGGTGTGCTTTTTCATCAGGAGGCCCATATTGTCCAGTTGTCTCCCTTTTTTGATGTTATCAGCTGTAGATGATCATCTCCTAGGACCATTACTTCATTTAGGCATAGCAAAATCATGATATTGCAATTCTATTATTCCACTCCCTGCTATTTATTACCTGGGATAATTCCATAAAGAGAAACTTCACCTCATCAACATTTAGTAATCCAGAGAAATATTATGTACAGGAAAGGCAAAATAAATGTTTGATTCTTTCCCTTTATTTACCAGTTTGCATCCCCCAAGGATGACGAAAAGAGTTTGTTTTTTTAAATTTTGCATTAATATGAACTCGTGGATTTCAATATACTTGATGGTGAATCAATCCATTCCAGTTCATATCCCTCTACTGATGTTCAAATAAGCAACTTCAAGTTGGTCTCCAAGACCTTTCGACATAAATCTAGCACTCTGAAAATTCCTTGCTTTTTCATATAACAGGATATTGCAGACTCGTTTATACACTTCCTTCCCTAGACTTCTAATCAGCCATTTCTCTGAGGAGCCCCAGTTCCTTTCAGGAGGAAACAATCTTTGAGACCACAATTTGAAATATGCAGATGTTCATTACTACTAAATCACTTTCTTCTAGCTTTTTCAGCATTCACAACTAGAAAATAGGTATTTAAGTGGTAAACCATGTCATGAGTTTCTAGTGAGAACTACAAGGCTTTTATTTAACCTCATATATCTTATAAATCTCATTTCTCCTCTGCCAAAAATGTCTCAGTGATAACAATGTATTTACTCATTTTCTTTATTCTATAATGTCTGTCCAACAGTCTCAGGATAACATTACCAATACTAACAACAATACAGTTACTGAAAACAAACTTAAGACTGTTTTTCAGTTGTTTTAGATATTTTTGATCTTGGAATAGTTGCTTTTTATGCATAAATATACAGTTAGGTTCTTTTGTTATTATTGTTGTTTTAATGATTTTGAGATTTAAAAATTTTTAATTTTGTTTTATAACCATGTAAAATATTGACATGAGTCCAAAGTCAAACCTACAGAACAAGGTATATTCCAATAATTTAGCTGTTATCCTGTCTTCTCCACTCTATCTCCTCTACCTTCTCTGAGTCAACAAAAAAAATTATGACTGATACTTCCATTATTTTTTCTTTTCTTCTCAGCTTTATTAAGGTACAATTGACATACAAAAATTGCACTTAAAGTACAGAATTTGATGTTTTGATATATACTGATGAAATCAACACCACCATCAAGGTAATGAACATCTATCACCCCCTTTGTAATTCTTTCCCATCCCCTCCCCCAGGGAACTACCAATCCACTGTCACTATAAATTTGTGTCGATTTTCTAGAATTTAATGGAATCCTACCATTGTGTACTCTGCCTTGCCTGGCTTTTCACTCAGTATAATTATATTGAAATTCATGGTGTCATGTGCATCACTAGTTCTTTTTTTTTTTATTTTTCTGTATTTTCCAAGTTTATGTTTTACTTTAACCATTCTCTGTCTCCAGCTCTTTCCTGTGCACCTGTGTGTACGTGCCCTCTGAGGAATATGGAATGCTTCACAAATTTGTGTGTCATCGTTGTGCAAGGGCCATGCTAATCTTCTCTGTATTGTTCCAATTTTAGTATATGTGGTGCTTAAGTGAACACTAGTGCACCTTTAAAATTTTTTTATTCTTATGTTAATCCCCATACATTACATCATTAGTTTTAGATGTAGTGTTCCATGATTCATTGTTTGTGCATAACACCCAGTGCTCCATGCAGAATGTGCCCTCCTCAATACCCACCACCAGGCTAACCCATCCTCCCACCCTCCTCCCCTCTAGAACCCTCAGTTTGTTTTTCAGAGTACATCATCTCTCATGGTTCGTCTACCTCTCCGATTTCCCCCCATTCATTCTTCCTCTCCTGCTACCTCCTTCTTCTTTTTTTTTCTTAACATATATTGCATTATTTGTTTAAGAGGTACAGAGATTCAACAGTCTTGCACAATTCACAGCGCTTACCAGAGCACATACCCTCCCCAGTGTCTATTACCCAGTCACCACCTCCCTCCCACCCACCCCCCACTCCAGCAACCCTCAGTTTGTTTCCTGCGATTAAGAATTCCTCATATCAGTGAGGTCATATGATACATGGTCCTTCTCTGTTTGACTTATTTCGCTCAACATAATACCCTCCAGTTCCATCCACATCGTTGCAAATGGCAAGATCTCATTCCTTTTGGTGGCTGCATAATATTCCATTGTATATATATACCACCTCTTCTTTATCCATTCATCTGTCGATGGACATCTTGGCTCTTTCCACAGTTTGGCTATTGTGGACATTGCTGCTATAAACATCGGGGTGCACGTACCCTTTCGGATCCCTACTTTTGTATCTTTGGGGTAAATACCCAGTAGTGCAATTGCTGGATCATATGGTAGCTCTATTTTCAACTTTTTGAGGAACCTCCATACTGTTTTCCAGAGTGGCTGCACCAGCTTGCATTCCCACCAACAGTGTAGGAGGGTTCCCCTTTCTCCGCATCCCCGCCAACATCTGTCGTTTCCTGACTTGTTAATTTTAGCCATTCTGACTGGTGTGAGGTGGTATCTCACTGAGGTTTTGATTTGGATTTCCCTGATGCCGAGCGATATTGAGCACTTTTTCATGTGTCTGTTGGCCATTTGGATGTCTTCTTTGGAAAAATGTCTGTTCATGTCTTCTGCCCATTTCTTGATTGGATTTTTTGTTCTTTGGGTGTTGAGTTTGATGAGTTCTTTATAGATTTTGGATACTAGCCCTTTATCTGATATGTCATTTGCAAATATCTTCTCCCATTCTGTCGGCTGTCTTTTGGTTTTGTGGACTGTTTCCTTTGCTGTGCAAAAGCTTTTTATCTTGATGAAGTCCCAAGAGTTCATTTTCGCCCTTGCTTCCCTTGCCTTTGGCAATGTTTCTAGGAAGAAATTGCTGCGGCTGAGGTCGAAGAGGTTGCTGCCTGTGTTCTCCTTTAGGATTTGGATGGACTCCTGTCTCACATTGACGTCTTTCAACCATTTGGAGTCTATTTTTGTGTGTGGTGTAAGGAAATGGTCCAGTTTCATTCTTCTGCATGTGGCTATCCAATTTTCCCAACACCATTTGTTGAAGAGACTGTCTTTTTGCCATTGGACATTCTTTCCTGCTTTGTCAAAGATGAGTTGACCATAGAGTTGAGGGTCCATTTCTGGGCTCTCTATTCTGTTCCATTGATCTATGTGCCTGTTTTTGTGCCAGTACCATGCCGTCTTGATGATGACAGCTTTGTAATAGAGCTGGAAGTCCGGAATTGTGATGACGCCAGCTTTGCTTTTCTTTTTCAACATTCCTCTGGCTATGCGGGGTCTTTTCTGGTTCCATACAAATTTTAGGATGATTTGTTCCATTTCTTTGAAAAAAGTGGATGGTATTTTGATGGGGATTGCATTGAATGTCTAGATTGCTCTCAGTAGCATTGACATCTTCACAAT